CATTCTGTCTCATAAAACTGTTATTTTAGAATTGCAATTTTATATAACTTTTTTATTTTCTATATTTTTATAAATTCATTGTAACTCAAAAAAAAAAATCACAAAAACTGAAATATGTTTTTCTAAAATAATCATATCGCTTTTGTGCAATGTGTGACTTGATTACGAAATATTTACTTTCATTTGCAATCAAGTGTAACGATCTGATATATTTCTTGTTTCAAATACATCCTGTCGTTCTGATTATACTTAGTAGTGTCCGTTTGGTCTGATCTAGTTTTTTTAGCCAGCTTATTTGTGCCATGTGATCAATATATATTATGAATCCTGTCGAACGATCGCACAGATCTTGGAAAAGAAGGCGGCCTTGAGGCGCATTGGTCTCGAGTCCTGGGAAGAGTGCACGCGACCATCGAGAGGAACGAGCGACGCCTGGTCGAGCAGGATCGTCGGGAAAGGACAGAATTAGATTGGAAACAAGTCGCCTTGGTCAGTGATCGTGCTCTGTTGTGCGTTTTCTTGCTTACGACGATCGTCAGCACGGCGGTGATTTTATGCGGCTCGCCCCCGACTCTGGATGCGTCCAAAGATGGCTAATTCTTGGACTACCAGTTCGACTGATCGTTCGATGGCGCTTTTCGAGGATCACCGATGATTTTTGCTCCAGATAATTTCGTTTATAATATAAAGGGAAGAATGATTTTATTTTAAAAAATTAAAAGTTTTACTGAATACAGATCTAAAAATAATTTTATTGGAAATTCGATTGCTAAAATAAAACTTTTTGCAGCATTGGTCATCATTTTTTAGTTTTTAATATGATTATTTGACGATCCAATAAAATTATTTTCAGATCCGTATCCAGCAAAATTTTAGATCTTCCAGCAAGATTCTTTCTATATATTAAAAAAAATTAAATTTAGTAGACTCGTTGATATAAATAGACTCGTTGAATAAATGAATATTTTTCGTTACTTGTTTTATAACAAAACATGTGTTAACTTGAGCAAAAAGTAAGTAAATTTTTAAAAACTAAAGTGAGAAGCTCTATTTCATTTGATATTATTAAAAAAAAAATCATTTTAAGTCCAGTATTTCTTCATATATTTCTGGAATGAAATATCGTGTAATTTTAGATAAATGTGACATATTTAGAAAACGGAGCATCTATCTCTCGAACAGAGGTGAATTTAGGGTATATAAAACCGCTGTTTATTAATTTCGACAACACATTTAATTTCTTTCTTTCTAAATAAATATTAACAATTTGTTAAAAATTCACGTATTTCAAATTATAACTTAAATTCGCCTTTGTTCTCTCGACATTTCCTTTTTTATATCGAACGAATGAAGAATAATTTCGAATAGTTGAAACTGTAAATATATCTGTATCGAATTTATGACAGTATATGTAAATTTATCGAGGTAGTGAATTCGTAAGAACTCATTAGTGTGTTATCAATATGAAATATCAACATTTAGATTTAGAAATGAACATTCTTTATGGATGAGAATACATTATCTAATAATAAAACGATAAATGTTTTATCAATATTAAGATGTACTAAAACAGGGGTGAAAGTATAATTTAAGAAGTATAGTAGGAATAGTAGGAATAAATAATGAAATAGATTTTATTTATTTAACAAATGAAGTCCCACAACCACATTTTTAAATTATTAAGTTTTTTAAATTGATTTTTTCTTATTTATGTAAAAGTATTTATCTATTTCGTGCATCTCATAAAAATATATAAAAAATATATTAGTACATAATAAATATATAAAAGCTTTAGAATCTTTAATAATAATCAGGTACAGGTGCACAAGCTATTTTTACAAAGTCTTCATATTTCACGTGTCCATTCAAAGACACATTGGCTTCACGGAAGATTTGCTCCACTGCAATAAATGATAACATACCAAATACAAAATCTATGATTAATTATTGTTTTATCTTGCTATTCAATTTTTCTTTTGAATGAAGCAAAATATGTGATTAATAATTTATTGTTTTATTACCTTCTTTACTACTCAATTGTTCTCCCCAGTGAAGCAACATGTGCGCCAACTGTCGTGCTGGAATAGTACCACTGCGAGAGGTATCAGCAGCTTGAAAAGCTTTAATCACTTCTTTCGGTAGATCCTCCACACGAGTCTGAAGATGCATTACCTCCAGGAAATCGGCAAAGGACATTTTTCCACCTAAAATCAATATAAAAGATATTTTCATTTTCCTGTACAAAGTTTCTCTGATCTTTAAAACTTTTTTCAAAATTGAGCCATTCTTATTCAAGACTGACTCAGTTTTCACTCTTTAGAGTAAGATTTTACTCTAAAGAATTTAGAGAGTGGCAAAACTTGTATTGAATATTGTAGCCTATGGATTACCTTTGTCCTTCATGTATTTGTTCAATTCTGCAATGGTCGGACTCAGTCCCAAAGATCTCATAATTATAGTAAGCTCGTCAAGCGTACGAATCTGACCGCTTCGGGCAAATAGGTAGAAACATTCTCGAAACTCTGCAAAAGTAATAATTTCAAATCAGTTTGTTCGATTTATTTCAGCTGTACGATAGGCAGTGATAATCTTGCAACAATTTCAAAACGTACCATCTATATCCTCTTCTCTGAAGTAACGCGCCTGCAACAATTATATACCGGATGAGACACGAAAAGCAGAATGCATATTAAATAAACTTGGTTGTGCAAAGGAAAAAACTAAACAAATAAAATTATGCGTGAAATACGATGAAAGTAGATCAAGTTCCAGAGAAATTACATTCTAAGTAGATCTCAGAATTGTTGGCGAAATTATAATATACATTGGGATTACCATGTTTGATTAGATTCACACAGATTGCGTCTCTCTTGAGTATCGGATTTTGACGCGATTTTGTTGATTTTGACACAACAGGTGTTTGATGCGAACGTAACCTCACTTGTTCTCTCTACGTCGCTTGTAACAGAGCGACATCGTTCGTCGAGAGATTCTATTAGAAATCCTGATTGCGCAACCTGTGCAAAGGAAGGTCAATGTTCCTAGTTGTCGAGCTATCGTCAAAACACAATTTTAGAATGCATGACTTTTTAATGAAAGTCCGCAGAAAACTTTCAAACGCGAATTTCTGTAGAAGCAATCTTCGATAAATTCAAATCGAGCACTTTTGACGAGTAGAGAGTTGACTTTTTTGAAAAGGAAAAATGCTCAAAGGAAAAAGATTTGATCGAAAGGGCAATTCAGGAATATATTAGGATAAAATAGTTAACCCTTTGGTGCCACTATGCGCTTTGTATCTACTATACGCTTTGTCACATACACAATATACACTGCAAGGTATTGTGTAAAAATATCGCGTAAAAATGAACATACATATTTATAACATTATTTTAAAAATGTGATATTAAGGAACATAATAATATGTATAATAACAAATAAATATATCTTTGTCTGTTAATAAAAAAGTTGTAGCATAAAAAATAAAATAAATACATAGTCGAATAGGCTATACCTATACTACTGAAGGATCAAATATCATGAAATCACACCAAAATAATTTTTTTTGTGTATAATAATAATAAAATTAATTTCTTATAATTGCCTATTCGCGTTTCGATTTTCCTACAATTTTCTACGTTATATTTTGGCTCAAAATTGATGTACCGTATATTCCAAAATTACGTTTAAATGGAATATTTATATATTGTTTACAAAAATTCATCATGTAGATAACACAATTAATGCAAAATATGTAAATTATTATAAATTCGATAATACAATGCAGAAAGAAGTAATCAAGTTTTGTGATTGTAATGTAATATATTTGACTTTATAATATAAATAAAAATATACAATGTCCTAAAATTCGCGACTTAAAATAATGTAGCGAGAACATTTTCAAAAAATTAAATAAAACAACTGTTTATAAGTTTTTATTTTAGTCATAATTTCTGAGATAAGAATTTAAATATGGCTAACAGATTACGATTAGATAATCTCTCGTGAATGAGTGCCTTTCATTTATAGTGATATAGTCGACACATATTCTATTCTTTGTTCTATGAATAACGAAGATAGAATGATATTTGTATCAACTTGTGTCATTAAATGGAAGACATCGAGTATATTAATGAATACTAAAGTATGCGCTTACTAATATACTGCCGCACGAGTCATTAATAGACAGATGGTTATCTAAACATAGTCTGTGACTAGCTATTTAAATCTCCATTATCTAAAAAAAATCATTGTTTTAAAACAAAAAATATTAACTAACTTTTTTATTTAATTTTTTGAGAACTTTCTTGCTAATAATATTTAGAATCGCAAATTTTGGAATATCCTGTATAATTGAGATAGAAGTTACAGTACAGTTTGGTGTAACGTATTTAACAAAGAACGTAAGATCTATAGATTGTTTACATAGATGCGTGCGTGCGTATGTATGATAAATGTAGATATTTATACATATATTTTATATATATATATTTTACGCGTATACACATAATCCTACTTTTAAGAAAATCTTTTAATTATACATAAATTGCTTCAATATATTGTACTGATAAAAGTTTTAAAAGTAACTGATTTTAAAATCTTCGTCTGATTATGAATTAAAGAAAATGCAACAGTTTTTTTCATGTCTAGATAAAATTGCGTTCGCTTTAGACGACCTACAATTTTTTATTAAATTTTCGATGGATATTTTTTATCTGATACGTCACGTATTTTTATACATCTGTATATTTTAATATTTCATATACGTGTATATTTAACATTTCATATACATGTTCATTCTGGATCTGTAAGTTCTTGATTTGATTTAATAAATTTGTAAGTATTACATAGCACGTGAAATTATAAGTTTCGTCTTGAATTCTAAAAAGCTCATATTGGATGGAAAGCGTAATTACATTCGATATGAAGAGTAATAGATTCGATTTACCATCATGAGATAGATAAAATAAAATTTATAAAACTCAAATTTATTTTTCGATTAATTATCTTTGAATCGATTATATAACAACGAAATATTATGGCGTGGATTCATTCATTTAATAGCAAATTCAACGATCGAATCATAATATAAATTATTTTTTCATAATCGTTATTAAACTTTAATGTATCATTTTTATAATTATAATTTTATAATACGCAT